GATTTCCCATGGTGTATATACGTCATTATTTTGTTCCTCTGTCACCTTAGCTCAAACAGGTTTTGAAGGCTTTTGAAACAATGCAACCCCTCCCCCAGAAAACCCTGTTTCTCAGAGGAGGAGAGAGGTTGAGCAGACACATCTCAATTGGTGGTCCCTCTTGGAAATCGACCCCAACTCTCTCTTTTGTGTGTGAGAGTTTTGGTTGATGCTGGAAGCTGGTGACACAGAGGCATGTCTTGCTCTGTGCTGGTCCCAAGAGCTATGGTTTGGGGGCTTCCTTGAAAGCCTCAAGAGGAAGCAAGACCTGTGGAGCGTTAATGCTGTGAACCCCTCCATCTTTTGCTCAGGTTGTGTATATGTGTAAATAAAACCTTATATGTTAAAGACCCCACAGTCTCTGTGGACTTTCATTTCAAGGAAACCAAACCCTAGGAAAAGCATTTGGAACCACTGTAGTCTCTCATCACTTTGAGACTGTGTTACATGTGACAGTACCTTCCCTGCCATACCAAATGCCACCCGAAACCTAACAGACCCATATTTCAGTGCCTGCTAATTCTTCCCACATTCCTTCTCCTGCGCAGACTCCCACATTCCTTCTCCTGAGCAGACTCCATGGCTCCAACTCCCCCCCCCCCCAGGCTCGATTTTGTTTACCACCTCAGCTAGTCCAATGAAAAGTCCTGGAGGACTCAAATGCTCACACACTATTTGGGGACATTTTGGCTGGTCTAATCAAGGCATTGCCCTAATGTAGATTTTGGAAGAAAAACTAGGTTTGACTTTCTTGTCTGCAGCATTCCGAGGAGGCGTGATTAAGAACTTCATTAGGGCCAAGCATTAGCATCCTTGGGTGAGGTCTGGCTAAGCCTTAATGCATATTTATGACGCCGATTAGGAGGGCTACTGCTTGAAACAAATTAGCAGCATCTGCTAAGGATCTTACTGTTTTCCTGGGCTGTTGGCAATCACAACAACATTGCAGAAGTGTTTGCAAACCTGTGAGACAGTTACACTATTAGAATGATAAATGGGGAGCTTTGCATGGGAATAATGAGACTGCGCTCCTGAAGCATAGCAACAACAGTGCTGCTTCTGGGGTAAGTACAGCACCGAGGGCTTAGAGGGCAAGGATGCAAGAAAGGCCTTCAGGCAATGGCACTTCTGGGACTAATTACATGCTCAGTACCAGGCCATATACCCCACTGCACCATCATCATTTCCTTCTGCCCAAAATATTAAAACTTTCCCCAGGCAGCATGCAGCCTTAAAGCTCCAGTCCCATGCTCCATTCCCCAGGTTCGGCACTTCCGAGAGGAAAAATCAATTTGTCGGATTCTGTAACTTCTCATTTAAAGCAAATTTGTTCAAAGTCTTCTGAAGAAGATTTGATTGGAAAGATCTATTAAAAGGGGAAAAAAGGAAAATCTATAGAGATGATTCTCAAAGTTGGGCTATATAAAGCAAGCTGATCAACTTCCTTCTAGGACAGTATCTTGGACAGATTAGATAGAAAAATCTAGGTGAGGGCATGGGGAAATCAAACAGCTGTATTAAGGTCTGGAAAGCAATCTATTTCACAGTAAGAACATAATTTTGGAGCAGAAAGTAATTCCTTGGAGTAATAGAAAGGTAGGAAACATGAAAGGAACAGGAGAACATTTGATTGTCCCAAGACCAGAGCACAGTAGCCATGCTAGTCTGAGCCAATGCACTAGAGTTCCTCACACAAACCTTTCAACTCAGCCAGTCCATAAAGGTAAAGGTAAAGGTACCCCTGCCCTTACGGGCCAGTCTTGACAGACTCTGGGGTTGTGCGCCCATCTCACTTAAGAGGCCAGCGTGACAAAGCTGCATCTGGCGAGCCAGTGCAGCACACGGAAACGCTGTTTACCTTCCCGCCAGTAAGCAGTCCCTATTTATCTACTTGCACCTGGAGGTGCTTTCGAACTGCTAGGTTGGCAGGCGCTGGGACCGAGCAACGGGAGCGCACCCCGCCGCGGGGATTCGAACTGCCGACCTTTCGATCGGCAAGCCCTAGGCGCTGAGGCTTTTACCCACAGCGTCACCCGCGTCCCCAGCCAGTCCATATAGGTCTCTAAATCAGCTACCGTCTATCGATGCAAAGCTATTGCTGGCCAATACGAGAGCTAAACTAGAGATGACCCTGGACACATCCTTTGATTTGACTTTAATTTTAACGGTCAGTAGCTGCTCCTTCAAAATAAGTGCAATAAGACCTGCACCAGCAGCTGGAACTGCCAGGGGGCTGGGACTTGCCATCATTGTTGTCCTCAGTATTTTCCTTTTGCTGTTGTTGGCCTCCCCTGGCCTCCCCTGCTCCTCCAACTTGGGACACCATTTTGGGAGGTTACTGAAACCTGCACAGAACTACAAGACCTTTTTTAGTTCACGCTTCTGGTTTTCAAAACAAGTTGCCAGGAGGAAAAACTTTGCCAAGTCCCTCTTGGTAATCGGCAGGAGCTCTTGGCTTGCCAAAGGTATTTCCACGCAGATTAAGTCCCTAAAAGCTCCATCCTATCACCTTTGCCTGGGTGCTAAAGACTAAGTTGCCTTATCTAAATATTAAATCTGCAAGAGTTGGAACAATGAAAGGACAATGTTTTGGCACCACCTCCAACTTCCTGGCTTCAGCAAGCTGGCTGTACCCAAGTAGTTGTCATCATTTTTCATCCCATTTTACAAGGACACAGACTTTCACCCTCCCTGTTGAGGTGTTGAATGACCTACCTCTATAACAGTGGTAGGGGGATCAAAGTCTCTCTCTAGCAACCTTCCAGGGCAATCATTCCAGGGGTGGGCAGGACCAGAGGCAAAAGTAGGCAGAGGAACATATGTGCCTCTTACCCTTTGTACAGTAGGCTGAATTTCAGTCACACAAGTGCCAGAGGTTTCTATTCCCACCTGTGCTCCTCTGCCTGTGCTGTATCCAGGCAAACAAGAGGAATTATCACAGTTCAGGGACACATTCCAGCCAGGAAAAAAGCACTCAAGGAAAACATGGAGCAGAGCCTTAGGAAATGGGATGTGGCATTGGGAGAGTCCTTTGGACCAAACAGTGGCCACATTTGCCCCCCGGGCCAGAGACTCCCCTCTATAATAACAAAATCAGTCCTCAGGTGTAATCATGGATATGCTCAGTACTGTCCTCAAATATCTAGAAACTACCATCTGTTCTGGTTATCTTTTCTTCCATCTTATTCAACTGGCAGAGAGACATGGGGGCATATGGGTATAGACTCCTTCTCAACAAGGAGCTCTGATCTGGTATGGCGTTAAAATGGGAATCATGCATCCATGGTCTGATGGAGATCATTAATTTTGGACCCTATCTGGTCCAATGTGGATATAGAGTAATGCACTGTTATGTGGGGGTGGGGTGGGGAGATGCTTAAAAGGAGAGACAAAGAAACTTGAATAACTGATTCAGCAAATCAGACTTCAAATGTATGGGAGGAACATTTTCTGTTAAGATTTGTCTGCTTCAGTTGCCACTCACTAACCCTTATTAACAACTGAGAATTCAAATAGTAATGAAAAGCTCAAAATGTGGCATGTAATAATATAGCTTGGCAGCTTCAGCATTTTTTAAAATAAAGCAAATGTCTAGATTTCACGGGTTGTAATACTGAATATGAGTTGGCAGTTTTGCTTAAAATGCAAGTCAGTGAAAGTCTGAGGCTGGACCCCAGTCCTTGCGGCAATATTCTCTCCCACGTACAACTTTCCGTGTATTTCTAGCCCCTCCCGTATAATTAAAGTGCAATATCCCAAGGACAAAGAAAGACACTTAAAAACAATTTAGAGACTATGCAAATTGCAATGGTGATGTATAGTGAGCAGACCCCCACCTTTTACCGCCAAAGCCGTCAGAATTTAAAGCACAGAACAGATCCTACAACCAGGAACCAGTGCACTACTTCCAAACTGTGGCTCATAGAGAGGCCTGCCGTTGACCTTACCTAGTTTTTGAACAACAAGGAAGTTCTCATGTTTTGATTCCCTGAAACAGACATAAATCTACCCTGATATGACCAGCCCTACCATTAGATTGCATGAGATGGAGCTATCTCCAGCAAGAGATGCTGAGGTGGGGTAGCAAGATATTTGGAGGACAGAGCAGTGTGTGCTACACAACCTGCCCCACACTCTCTAACACAGCCTATTGCCCTCAGGTGTGGTGGGGAAAGCTGTGCCACCACCGGTGTGAAAGTAATCTACCAGCATCTTTATGTGGCATCGTGGGGGGAGGGGGCACCATATTTTCCTTTGCCTTGAGTAGCAAAATGTCTTGGCCCAGCCCTATGCCATCATCTTGCTTCCTTGCCACAATTTGACAAAACCTGGGTGTAAGTACATCTCACCCAGGATTATCAACATTGACCTAGAAAGACCTGTTAAGGAAGTGGGAGTATTGTCATGTAAATCAGACCAAGATTTTGGAAAATGAATCTCTGTTGGTGTGAACTGTGGTACCTTCACAATATTACTATTTTTAATGTAATCACCCATAACCTAGATGAATGACTGGATGTTTGAATGGATGTTAGCTCTGCTTAAACTGTTGGCAGCTATTGATGGCTATCTTAAGTAACCAGGACTTTGCTGCATGAAACTCATTGTCCACTTCTAGGTCCTCCTGGCTCTTCTGCTCCTTCCCTTCCTGCTCGACTTCTTCTCTGTGTATGCATGCACAATGAACAGAGTGAGGAGCAGCATTCCAAAGAACAGGGTAAGTGAGGGGGCAGAAGGAAGGAGAAGCCAGGAGAAGAAGGGACCCACGAGGGCCCAAGGACCATTTAATACCCGAAAATGAACACTGTATCATCCACACCTTCAAAAGAAGAACACTTGATGGTCTTTCTGTGCCAAAGCTCTCATTTTAAAGTGCAGCTTGGCCTACGGAGCTACAGCAAACTCAACCAAGCATTTGTGTGCTATTCTCTCCACACTAATGGCAAAAGCCGCCTACTCACCGTTGTGGCATATTGAATATCCTTCCAGATGGAGGTCTCCCGAGAAAGATCCGAAGCCTCAAAGAGGTTCTCCAAGATCACCTCACCAATCATGTCATGCCGAGAAAACCTGTCAAAGTCAAAGACGCTAAGATGAAGCTTCCTATTGGTCAGCTCCTCATAGGGCACAGGAAACTGAAAGCTCTCGTCAAAGGTGGGGTTGAGCGTTTTCCTGTGCACACGGGTTTGGAACTTGCACTTCCTGTCAGGCAAGAGGTAGATCTTGACGTAGGGGTCGGAACTGCCACAGAGGTCCTTGGCAGGCAAATCAAAGGCCTTGAGAATCCGCACAATCAGGGTCTCGTTCTCATAGTCATATTTCAAAGCGAAATTTATTTTCCCACAGTTTTTTTCTGCCTCTTTTTTAGGGTCCTCAGAGTCCACGGATTTCTGCTTGTACAGCTCAGGCTTGATCCGGCCGATGCAAGTTGGCTGCTCTGCTGCAAGTGGTAGTTCTGTACCATAGTCCACACTGGAAACATGCATCTGCCTGGGCAGGTGCCTCTTGAAGGAAATGTGCCTGCAAGAGATAAGAAAAGGCTAGTGTGTTGTATGCTGGGAGAAGATTGTCCTGGGTATCTGGCCCCACTTAAGAGATAGGATGCAGAATGGGGAAGGGCAGGGAGAACGTAGGAAATATAGTACTCTCCTGGGCCCAACTACACTATAAAGTTCCACCGTACCACTTTAAACAGTCATGGCCATGATTTCATGCAAAGAATCCTGGGAACTGTAGTTTGTTAAGGGTGCCAAGAGTTATTAGGAGACCCCCATTCCCCTTGTAAAGCTATAATTCCCAGAGTTCCCTGGGAAGAGGGTGTGACTGGGAATTGTAGCTCCCTGAGGGGGAAAAGAGTCTCACAATTCTCACACAGTATTTTTTAAAGAAGCCAGTTGAGAGGGAGTAGGAAGTTTTCACAACAGTGATGTTACAGGCAGTAGGCACCCCTGGCTAAGCGGGTGAAACACGAGACTCCTAACTTCAGAGTCCCCACATTGGGCTAAAGATTCCAGCATTGCAGGGGGTTGGAGTAGATGACCCTTGTGGTCTCTTCCAACTCAACAATTATATAATTACTCTACAACTATAGTCCTGACCCTTGTAGAACTTCTGAAGGCTTTGTCATAAACAAACTGTGTAAGCGCAAGGGAAACTGGTTTCTTGATAGCTATCATGCAATGGAAAATAAAGAAGCGCATCTCATGCTGATCTGTGGGAGACTTTGAAAAGAACAACTTTATGGTCTTCCAGTTCTAGGAATTAAGATCCATACCAAACAGAACGCAAGGAGCAAGTCGTCGTTCAGAAGCAAAATATTTGGAACAAGTGGTATCTTTGGCCTTGGAGACAACATAAAAGAATGTAATTATAGTTTGTGGGAATAGGAAACACAGCTACAAGGGGCTGGTTTTACTAGCCGGAAGGAATAGCAGCACCCCTGAGAGTTCTGAGGTCTGTTTAATAAGCCCCACGGCTTGCTGTTTATGACTTACAGGAGAGGAGAAAGGAACTGCTGACCAGTGATCCAGAGTTATATGCTGCCAGCTGGGATTGCCACATATTCCAAAACCATAAAGCATTACTGCCTTGGGGAAATACTGTGTTTAAGGACTATGGGTCAATAGGAGTTTGGGGGCCTGTTGTAAGCTACATTTTTGTGTGCTATGAGCCCTTAGAAACGGTTACCAAAGAATCCCTGCTATTGCTGAAAGCTTCCTATCTACTGGGTTGTTTTTTCCTGTTGCTGATACGTTTACATTGAAATAAGTAGAAAAGGGAAAGGAAAGGAAAATAGAAAGACAAGAAGAGAGGGGGGCACATAAGGTTGGCACACACTGTCTAAGACTCAACTCAATTTCAGTTTCCCTCATTCTTCCAATTTCAAGTGCAGTTCTTCATATTTCCACTTCAATTTTCAACAACAACAACTGAACACATTTTTGCAAAGCAATTCCCCTAAATATAATGCAGTTTTGTATGTTGCTTCCACTAATATATGCATTTTTATGCACAGTTTACCACGACACATCCATTTTTTTGGTACACATTTCTTGGCTGGAGAACTGCATTGCAAAATTTAGAGAAGTGCCAATTTTGAAGGGTGGCTGTGCTTTTAGTTCACACGTTGTTTTGAAAAGTCCAAATTAGATAGGTACGCCTTTATATGTCAATGGAGCAAAAATTCTCTCCCATCCCTAGACCAAGAACCCTTCTCAGCTGCGGGAAGGGGAGTGCTTTTATATCCCCCATATCATAGAAGAAAGAAAAGAAAAGGCAATGACACAAAGCCAACCACATACTTATTTTGCTAGTGCACCATCTTTCCCAAGATATAGCTACCTGACTGAGGGAGGGTGTATTTTGATCACACCTCTGCATAGTTCTCGTAACAACAGGACTTCTTTTCTATAATTCATACGTTCCAGCTGAACTTTTCTAATTGAGTTTGCCCAAATTACACTTATCTTCTTTCCCTCCTTCATAATGTCTTCTGTGAGTGAGCTTAATGGATATGAATGACTACGGAGATTTGAAACGAAGAGTGGCAGGCATACATCTGCCAATGGCACAAAACATCAACTCGATTGCTCAGTCTCTCTCACAACCTTTATGACAGGACAGTTTTAGACATGATTTGCAGCCTTCATGGCTATGCATGAGCAGAAACTGAGAACAGGCCATGGGCCAGCCTGAGCTCAGTCACATCCTTATACTTCTCATAAAGGTATTTTGGAGTCTTTGTATGACCACCGGACCATATCTTTCTCATTGCTACTTGGGCTGGGAGTAATGCCCATCTTCATTAAAGCCACCCTGCTTTCTTTGGCAAGTTGTACCAGATACTTTTGTAGCAGGTTGCAATTCGTTTGTTGTTGCATTTATCTCTCTCTTGGCCCAAGGAGATCAGAGCATCATCATGATCATTGCAGCCCTACCGCTATCTCACCATCAGTGCAAGAGGAAAGCTCCCTGCCTCAAGGAGCTTATGATCTAACACTCAACACAGAAGGAAGAAGAGAAGAAGGAGATGGTTGTAGAGTCCAGGGGTAAAATAGCCTTCTCATGACTCAGCTGAGATGCAGCAGCTTGACCAAGGACATCTGGAGAGCTTTAAAGCTGAGCAAGGATTAGAGCTGGAGTTCCCCAAAAGTCAGTCCTCACACACTCTAGCCACTATAATACCACTGTACTCAGCAGGCTAGAGGACATGCAAGGTACTCAATTTACATTGCATATATTCTTACTATCAGAACTCCATTGCAGTGAGTGAAAATGGCTACCCATTTGTCATTGTGTAGTTAATGGTTCATATTCAGTGAGGAAACACTTCATTAAAACACTCATTAACACAGCTAAGGCGCACAATTAGTTTAAGTGCAATGAGCACCCAGGAAGCAAACATGTTCTCTTGAGACTAAGGTGGTTGACCTGGAGAGGCTGAGAAAGGCAGAAGACACTGTAGAGATCTCCAGTTCTTATGACAGCAAGGAAAGGTCTTCTGGCAGGAGGGCATCATACCAAGGCAATTAGAAGACAGTTACTTGGGAAGACCAATCTCCTGAGAGATGCATCTATATCCTCTGGGGCCTTGCTGTAGTGATTCAGGTATTTGTAACATTTTAGCTGGACTAATACTGATATTGCCTAATGTGGATTTTGGATTTGGCAGACGAGTTTGTGGCTTTCTTCTTCAGAATAAATATTTTTAAGGGGAGGGGAACAAGAGAGACATTTAAAAATTACGAATGGCCAGGAAAGGGTAAATGGACTGATTTTTCTCTTTCTCTCATAGTGTTATAAACTGGGCATTATCCAGTAACATTGGTTGGCCATAGTTTCAGAACAGACAAATGAAACATTTGTTTCATACAATACATAATTAATTAATTATGCCATTTACTACCATGAGATCAGGTTGTTCTATCATGATGGCAAAATAGAACTTTCGTATTCAGAAGCAATGTATCTCCAAAGCCCATTTGTTAGAGGGCTGGCAGAAGAAAAGGACTGTTGCCTTCACACTTCCTTATAGGCTTCCCAGAAGCTAAATGCTGAACTAGCAGTGGTCTTGCGGAAGGAGAAGGCAGGGGAGCACAGTTCTGGGACCTTTTATAGAGCAGGAGGAATGGTATCGTCTGAGATGGTGTGATCAGGAGAAACCAAATTTGTTTGTGGCACATTAGAAACAGAATCATAGAACTGTAGAGTTGGAAGGGACCATGAGGGTCATCTAGTCCAACCCCTGCAATGCAAGGATCTTTTGCTCAACGTGGGTCTCAAACTCATGATCCTGAGATTAAGAGTCTCATGCTGAGCTATCCCAGTCAAAGAATGAGAAAAATAAGCAGAGGGTGGGTACTTCTTTTCCTTTTTTTGAAGGCATTCCTACTTCATGCCAGCAGTTTAATGGTAACACTTCTTCGCAAGATTGCTTGAACTAATTAAAAGCTTAAATGTTGCATTTCAGCTGACTGAAAATCATGTGAAAGCTCAGTGTGTTTAAAAATCTATACAGTCACAAGCACCACTAAGTTCAATGGAGCTTACTCCCAGATACGTATATCCATATCCTATTATGCCAAAGATATACCTTTGGGACGGTACATTTTGAGATGGTGGGTAGCAGGGTCCCCACAGTGATATATTCAGGCATTTGGAACATATGTTCAGTATTTATAACATGCTGGTCCTAATAAATTGGACAATATGCTATGTGCTGCTGCTACTTGCATTTTTTACTCCTTTAGCAATGGGGCCTGTCACAATGAGTTCCTGCACTTTTGTATAGTTGTGAATTTTCTTGATTTTACTGCTTTATCTTTTGTTACCCACTCTGAAGGTTTTTGCAATCCAACAGTGTATAAATGTTATAAATAAGTAAATAAAATGCGCCATCACGTTACTATAGGACTAGATAGACTCTTGCTCTGAATCTAGAAGGCTCTTATGTTCCTGTGCCTGAAAGCAAAGGAACTGAGCAAAACTGAGCAACTCCTGCCCTCTACGGCATGGTAGACCTTGTTCTGATCAACCATGATGCATGGTAAAACATGGATAAAGTCACCCACATCTTAGCTGAAAAGACTGCCTGTATTAGAAGACATTCAGGTCAGTGGCCCATGGGTTACCAGGCTGTCTTCCACCTCCAGATCCTTGCAGACCCTGCCTTCCTTTGTCATGGATCCTCATGCATGGTCAGCCTTCCATCTGAGGCTACAGTAGCCCTGAGGCAGCGGCTGATCTTGAACACTGAGATGCAGCTCCCTCGAAGCCAGTGCAGTGAGTGATATGTCAATTCCGTTTATCTAATTATTCCTGCTTTGAGCCACATAAGCAAGAAAGAGAGGAAAAGGCTGTAATTCTATCTGACAGTGCGCCATGTCACTGATATGTCTCCCTGCCTCCCTGAGTCCTAACAAAATTAAAGTGGCCACAAGCATATTGACAGCTTGACACAATGAGGTCAAGTCACCGTAACAGGGTTTGAATCTTTTGGCTAAGATCAAGGGCCCACAGGGAGACTGGGGAAATATGTCAGCTGGTTCACTTTCAACTCAACCTTCGGCAGAGACCAGCATGTAGTCGGGGGAGTATCCTGCAGCTCCAGGAGGTGTATGCCAGCCAAAGGTTTAGCGTAATATCCCTTTAGTGCGATTGCTCAATGATGTACAAGTGTCAAGAACATATTTAGAAAGAAGGGAATTGCTGCCGACGTCTTGAGGAGTGGTGGCCCATTGCATCAAACATAAATGAGAGCCATCTTCAGATGTGGGTGGGCTTGAAGAGAGGAGGGGTCAGGGTGCACATGCAAGCCCTGCCCCACAAATCTTCATGTAATCAAGTTTAACCCCATGTAATAGGGTTCCTGGTCATGAGGAGGATTCTGACTGCATTTCGAATCCATCTTCAAATCTAGTCCCCAGTCCAAGGGCCTGAAGCAATGTTGCCCCACCTCCCAAAATATTTCTGCTTCTCCTCAAGTGCGCCAATTTTGCAAATGGCAACAAAAAGGAAGAAATTCAGGGATAGGCAGAGATGTTACTTATGGGAAGAAAGATATGAGTGCAATAGCACTCTATCGTTCATAACTCTCTGCAAGTGGTATTCAGAGGTATTCTGCCTCTGGGTTGTATCTGGGTGGTGCTCCAGATTTTTGTTATTCTTCTGTTCTTGTTTAACAGAGACAATAAAGTTTGTCTCCAGTTTGCACACCATTGTGTCCTCTAAGCCATGACATGACAATTACTCAAACAAATCTAATTACTCTAGAACACCTTGATCAATATACACTCCTTGATGGAAACAAAAAAGGATTGGGGGGAGGGGGGAGAGAACTTAACAAACAAACCAAAAACATAAACTTTATTTTGAGCATATACAGCGAGCAATGAGGAAGCTCTTCACTTCATTGCAGGGGATACGCCTCTGGTTTGAAGTTGTGGGAACTGATTTGAATGGACAAGTAATAGCAGGAGAAAACTGGGCGTGGCATGGTGGGGACCTTCATCAGCACTCCCTTCTCCTCATGGAGAGTTTTCCCATCTTCAGCACCTCTGTAAAATGACCCATATTGTCTGATCCAACAGATGGCAATTCAAGGGATGCTCTGCACTCACCTGGTGGACGATGCAGGCTCTGTTGTCTGCCTCTGCATCCGTGTGCGTCTCATAAGGTGATCCTTCATGGACATCTGGACTTCTGCGGGAATATCCGGTGATGTGTGACTGATTTTCACAGCTGCCTCCAAGAAGCCCAGAGTCCCTGTGTCCTTTAGCTTGTCAGCCATGTTCTCTTTGTCGTGTTCCGCTGAGTTCTGGGAGGCGGGGGTGTTAGTCGAAATGGCCTTGTTCCTCCAGGGCACCCAGCACAGCTTCCAAAAGAGAAAGAGAAAAACTGCCACCAGGGCCAGTCCACATACAATAACTATCACAGCAAGGAGGCTGATGGAGAGCTCTAGAGGTTGGGAAAAGACAACAGTGACAAACAGGGGCAGAAAGGATTGGAGAAGAGATGTGGAAGAATGGGTGGGAAAGCAGGAAAGGAGGGAGGTAAGGGAGAAAAGAAAAGAAAAGTCTGTGAGACACCTGAAAGAACAAGGACAGGTACATTCTGAAATAGCGTCTGTTCCCTTTCATATGCTCTGCTCATGAAAAGAAAGTGTAACAAGGTGAAACACTTCTCCAGAATAGACATTCTTACCTATCCACACACCCCAAACCCTTCTGTTTCTGTTGGAATGTTGTGATTTCCTAAAACTATTTCATTACAGTTCTTGTGATGGTCTTGTTTGATATAAGCATTATTATTTCGGGAGGCTCAACTGAAATGGCCACTCAAATCACACACCAACATCATTTCTCCTCTGATCAACAACTTCTGGCAATTCTTAAAATGTTAAGAGATCTGACTACAGGACAGACAGCACTAATGATTAGGTTTTCAAAATGTCTGGTGCCAGTGGGGCACCCTATTGGGAAAGGATGCTTCCCCACAGACATATTGACTATTCATTCCCAGTCAGGGTCTGATGATGTGAGCTGGTGCCCTGGAAAGGATTCATGTCCGCTGCTGACTGTATTGGGAGTTTGTTGGCAGAAGTAGTTGGTTAGTTGTTTGGTTGGGTGGCCGAGAAAGGAACAGATCCCAACTCTACTTATTGTGGTCCCAGTTACAGTGCTGCCCTCCCCCAGGCCGTGGTTAAATAAGGGGTGGTAAGATGGATTCCGGCAAACAACCATCTGGATTAAAAATGGCCATAGCTTTATTGATTACAGATACAGGTGAAACTTCGGCTCAGGCATTGGGTATAAATTTCAGGGTCATGTCAAGGATTATGCCCCCCCCCCAGTTGGGTCCATATCAGGGGAAGGAAACATCTGACACATGAGGCAAGTTAGACCAGACCAATTAGATCACTGCAGCCATTTTTAGCCACCCATGCCCACCTGTCTGCCACCTGACATTAGAGAAAAATACCAAGATTCCTAGACAGCTGATTTCAGTAGCCACCACTACAGTCTTCAGCTTCTGAGGAATCATAGCATTCACTTGGCCATAGCTGATTAAAAATAGCACCTGAAACTTCTTAATCCTAGAAAACATGTCACTTGACACAGCCCGTAAGCAGATGCCTTTGTACTGCTCTGAAACAGGGAAGGCTTGTAATATTGCAAAAGCAAATATTAATACAGTTCTGTACAGCTCTGTCAGGTACAAAGAGTATAACACTGTTAGGCAATCTTTGGAAAACACACAGCCATTGTGCTTACGCTAACATAACTGAAACAGAGGGGGTAAGTAGAGTTTAGGTCTCTATTTCTTAGCTGTCTCTTGTAATCCACCTTGATCCTATAAGAAAGGGCAGGATGAAAATTTTAGTCATAGAATTCTGAACTGGGAAACAACAAAATCAACATGTCAAATAGATCCTGGAAACAAGATGCCTCCATATGGATTTTATTTTTTAAAAAAATTAATTGCTGAAGTACCTCTTGGAAAAGAAATAATGAGGGGAAGATTGTCATTGAAAGATTAGCACTTTGACATCAAATAGTGTTTTCTATCTTCTAAAAAGTAGTGATGATGATGATGATAAAACCGAAGTAAAGTGGATTTTTCTGTGTTGGAAAATGTTGGTGCAATCTGGAAAAAAACCATTCCTCTATGCCAAAAAACAAATATACTGTTGGAAGTGGCTGTCTTCCTCCCAGGAGAGCACATGGTTTGCAGGTCCCAGGTCCCAGATTCAATCCCTGTTGTCTCTAGGTAGGGCTGAAAAAGCTCCGGTCTGAAGCCCCAGTACACAGCTTTCAAGACAGTATAAACGATTCTAAGTTAGATCCAAAGTGTAGGTCAGTTTCCTCTGTGCACATGCTTCCTAAATTCCTATGCAATCTGAAGTTACCTGGCGTGCAGCAACATCAAGGAAATGGATTGGGGCAATAATACAGGGAAATACAGCCATATTAGCTGGCAAAAGCCAGTTCTCTGGGCCAATCCCATTACTGGACAATGCAAAGCAGTTGTTTCAAACGGAATTTTTTTGGTATCATTAAGGATAGGCAAATGCCAGTTATTTAAGTTATGATACTTTTCCTCTCAGGAGGCCATTTCCATTTCCACTGGATGAGCGAAAATATCTTGGGCCAGTTCTGAGGTCTGGACCACACATGCCACAGAATGAAGCACAAATGGAATTGTGGATGGAATTGAATTCCCGCTCCATCCATAGGTAAATTCAGACGGCAGGTGGGGAACACCACTTCTTTAAAACAAGACATGGAGGAATATTCCCCCATGGAGTTTTCTTTTTTAAACAAAAGCTCTCTGCAAATAGATAAAACTACCACACCAGGGGAAAAAGTCCTGAGCCATTTGCTCAGAATTCTCCATCTTCTTTCTTTATTTCGGAAGGTATTCTAACCACAACTGTCGAAAAATCACAACCTTCTCTTGTCAGTTGAGTGCAATACCACAGCTATTTTCTGACTTACTCCTGATGCTTGGTTCCTGGTAAATGTGGCTTTTAATTAATTACCAACCTTCCTTCTGCAGGAGACTCAGTCAACCAGCATGAATCTTACCACACCTATGTTTTATTTGTTTTGGGATATTTATAAACCACCCTGGGGAGGCTGATTACCCAATGAAGGGTAAGATACCCATTTTAGAAATTGATTCATTAACTAGAAGCCAATGCACAGTGCGACCCTTACAAACCCTCTACACCCAGGGTTAATCAATTTATGACTCTAGGCAGATTCTCCCAAAGGACTCTGAGCTATCTGTTCACACATATCCATATGGTAATGGTAGTAAAGAAGCACTTTTAGGACTATAATGATCTGCTGTATGAGGAAGATATTTTCCCTTAATTTACTTATGTCTTGAACTATAAATATGGATGATCTTACATCTGTTTGCAAGGTGCCTGAGTCTTATTCTTTTAAACAGCTTCCTTGTGCACTGAAAAGTGCTCCATCCTCCTCAGAACAGCAATTTAAAAAGGAACCACTCCAAATCTATCCTTATTAGATAGCTGAGCCTGTATCAGACTCTCTAGGCAGCTCACATCTGTTCTTCATTAGAGCTGTTATGAAAATAACCCTTGAAATATGCTTTTCGTTTCAATGCAAGTATTCCCTACCAGGGCTGCTCCATTTGATCACAGGTTTCATTTAGAAACTAGCTATAATTAAAATATTAGCACTGAGTATTGAAGAAAGCAACAGAAGACATGACATGAACTTAAATTGTCATCTTAATGAACATAAAAGCCAAATTTCTTCATTACCGTAAAGAAGTGACAATAGATCTGGTTGGATTGCTTGGTTTTGAGCTGAGATCTGGCAGGATCAGTAACACAATCCATGTGTTACAAGCCAGCTTGGAGAGGGCTTGTTTTTCAGTTCTGGCTCAGAGCACAGTCTTGGCATAATCCAGTCTTATGAACAATTTACCATTAGCAGAAGCTAGATAGAGAAATGTCAGATTATGCTTTGCACCAGTCCTTTTAGTTCAAATACTGGAGAAGAACATGTCTTCCCATTGTTCAGTTAAACACCCAGGGTGCCAGCTGTTTTCTAAGTATTTCCGTGACTAGCTAGAAATCAGAAGATGGAAGTTGATGGGTACTTTTGTGGCTGAAGACTTGCACCAGCTGTTGCTTTCTTCCGTTAGACCCATATAAAGGCCCCTATTTGAATACAAGTCCCTTCATCTGCACCACAGCCTGGGGCCACCTCAATGAGAGGATGTCTTTTTGTTGCCTCACTTAATAATGAATAAGACTGCATAAGATAAACAGTGGAGGTTCCCCAAGAGACTTGGCTAATTGCATTCTCGGCATAGCACAGGCACCACTTTCTGCTGCATGGAGAGCTAAGCCCTGGAAGGGTTCCCAATGTTCTCAGTTATCAAATACAGCTTCAGTAGAACTTGGATGACTTGAAAGAGCAGCCTGATACTCCCTGTATTTTGCTCTGCAAAAAAGTTACTGGGAAGGGGGAAATGTTTTCCTCTGCCAGAAGTCTATGGCTCTGAGATCTAATGCCAGAGGAAAAAATTATACATATGCACATTAATATTAGTGTCAACCAAGGAGTTTTCCCTCTCCCCATCCCCTCAATGTGTGTCCCCAGAAAGCATCTATATTCTTATTACAATTAGTCATGTAAATAGTGACACACAAAAACAACCCCAGAAGTCTGAAGGGGTAAACAATGCTAGGCATTTGCTGCTGATGCAGACATCAGCACCTGGGGCTGAGCAACTATTTCAGCCTATAAGGGAACATGTAGGGTTTACTGACTGTGTCTTCCCAAGGCGCATCCCTATGGGCTGGATTCCTGACAGGAGTTCTCTTTTCATCATTTACACAAAACTCAATAGGCCAGGAGCAAAGCCAGACAGCACTGCATCAAATTGGCAAGTTACTGAAAGCGAAAAATGGCCATCTTAATGGCATTTGTTGTGCAAGAGATGATTACTAACACAGGTCAGTGCTAGTTAGCACTCCCTTATGTGCAATCTAATGTGGAACAGATTATCTGCCTTGCAACATATGGGAATCTGCCACGATACCGTAGAACTGTGTCTGCAGAGGGGGCGCTCATGTTACAGATCAGCTCTCAGATTAGGAACTAGGGCAAAAGCAGGTAGGTCTATGAGCCTTCTTCCACATGAACACCGATGGTAGCCCCTGGACTCATATGCTGGTGCACCTTCCACAATTGTCCCCATCCACCATCTTGTAAGGGAGAGAGGCTAGCACTTGCACAGATGGACACTGTTTCATAGCCGCCAAACCCCCAAACAAACCATGTGCTGGTCTGCCCAGAGGACCCCATCATGAAAATTGCACCACTCTTTCTGCGCCTCTCAAGCATGTTACTTTTTCAGCAACCAATCAATGCTTCACCCCATCCAAGTGCCCCTGCTTTAAAGCTAGATGG